GCCGACCCAAACACTACTTGTGACTGGCTTCAGGCTCCCCGCTTTGGGTGCCTCACTGGCTCCAGCAGCGGCCGCCCCTGCCACAGCGGCCGGTGCAGCAGCAGCCGTGGCGTCGCCTGGTACCATACCGAGCGGGGTTTCGGGTTTAGGATGGTTCAGGGTTTGGCTTAGGGTCGAGGGTTTAGGGTTTAGGGTTTGGTGAGTGAGGGTAGTTTCGTTTTAAGTTTTATGTTTTAAGTTCTAAGTTTTTAGTTTTTTTAAGCTTAAGTTTTAAGTTTCGGTTTTAAAGTGATTTAGGCTTAGGCTTAGGGTTAGTTTTAGGCTTCAGGGTTTAGGCTTAGGCTCTAGGGTTTAGGGTTTAGGGTTCAGGGATTAGGGTTCGGTTTAGGGTGTTTTAAGTTCTTAGTTCTTAGTATTTAGGGTTTAGGTTTGATCAGGCGGCAGCCTTGGCCGGTGGCATCCTGCGATTGCTGCTTTTGGAGTCGCAGGCGGTGCAGGTCGGCGACCGGATCTTCAATCTGCAGGTGCGCTATCAATTACGCTCAGGGCCTTAGGCTTGAGGGTTTAGGTTTAGGGTTTTAAGTAGTTTTAAGTTTTAAGTTTTAAGTTTTTTAAGTTTTAAGTTTTAAGCTTTAGGGCTTAGGGTTTAGTTTCGGGTTTAGGGTTTAGGGCCAAGGTTTAGGGTTGAGGTTTTAGGGTTCAGGGATTAGGGTTGCTTTTTGGGTTTAGGCTTAGGTTTGATCAGGCGGCGGCGGCGATGGACATCCTGCGACTGCTGCTTTGGGAGTCGGAGGAAGTGCAGCTGGGCGACCGGATCTTCAATCTGAAGGTGCGACTATCAATTGGGCTTAGGCTTTAGGCTTTGGGGTTTAGGTTTAGGGTTTTAGTTTTAGTCTAGTCTTAGAGTCTGAGTCTTAGGTTTTAAGTTTTAAGTTTTAAGCTTTAGTGCTTAGGGTTTCGTTTCGGGTTTAGGGTTTAGGGCCAAGGTTTAGGGTTGAGTGTTCAGGGTTCAGGGATTAGGGTTTTTGGTTTGATCAGGCGGCGGCGACGGCCCGTGGCAACCTGCAGGAGTCGGAGGAGGTGCTGGCAACGCTGGGCAACCCGATCTTCAATCTGAAGGTGCGACTATCAGTTTTGACGCCGGGTGTTTTGCTTCTGAAAGCACGGCGGTGTAGGCTTTAGGGTTTAGGTTTAGGGTTTTGGGCTGTAGGGTTTAAGTTTAGGGTTTAGTTCCGGGTTAAGGGTTTAGGGCCAAGGTTTAGGGTTTAGACTCGGTTTAGGGTTGGGTTGAGTGTTTAGGGTTCAGGGAATAGGGTTTAGGCTTAGGGTTAGGGTTTTGAGTTTAGGGGGTTTAGTAGGGTTTAGGCTTAGGTTTGATCAGGCGGCGGTGGCGGCGATGGCCCGCCTGCTGCTGTTGGAGTCGGAGGCGTGAGTGGAGCTGCGGCTACCAATTAGCAAATCAATTTATAGTTTTAAGTTTTAAGTTTTGTTTTGTTTTATTGAGGTTTAATTTTAATTATATTTATAATTTATAAATTTATAATTGATAATTGATAACTGATAATGATCCAGCAGTTCTGGCAGGGGTAGTAAACTGTATGTAATTTGTAAAGGGTTTAGGGTTTAGGGTTTAGGGTTTAGGGAGTTTAGGGTTTAGGGAGTTCAGTTTAGGGTTTAAGTTTGAGGGACGGTGACTACCAGCACTGGCAGCCAAGGCCGTGGAGCGCCGGCTGCGGAGGAGGGCGAGGGCGACGCGGAGGAGGGCGAGGGCGACGTGGACGGGGGCCAGGGTGAGGGTAGGGGCCCACACGAGGTCCTCACCCGTCGAATCGTTTTTGACCTGCTGCTAGTGCGGGTAACTGTGGAGTTGCGGGTGAGCAGTAGATTGCTCTAGGCTCTGCGTCTGCTGAAAAAAGATGGACATGTGACATGTAGCGTGCAGTTCGGTATTTTCGCGCCTGCCATGCCAGCTCTGTGCACATGCAGCACACAGCATGCGTTCAGAATGCATTCAGCTGCATTCATTCATATCTGAGGCTACCGCGATCTCTGCATCTGAGCAAAGACCCCTGGTCAGCATCAAGTTGCACATCGAGTTCGATGAAACTGAGGAGCGGGATAGTCTTATTTTTTAGTTTTGATTCGTTTTGATTTTAATTTTAAGTCGAGTCTTAACCCTGATTGATAGCTAGTAGAAGTAGAACAGTAGCCAGTAGAACTGAAAGGGTATTCTTCTGGGGATTATCAGCTCAGCAACTGAGGAAACGAGCCAGATGCAGATGATCCGAACTGGCGCTCTTCGGACCAGTGTCTGTGCCAGCATTCTTGTGTCCAGACTGCATGTTGGCAGGGTTTGGGGCATGCGTTGGCATGCGGCATGTGTTGCACGCAGATCAATGTATGAACCCTACGCCCTAAAGCCTATGAGCCTATGAGTATGAATCATGAGCCCGAAACCTAAACCCAATAAGTTGCCAATAGGCCAATAGGCCCTAAACCCTACACCCCTGCAGCCCTCCTTCTCACAAGGTCCAGCGCACCACGCTGTTGACCAGAGTCGGAGGCACCGCTCGGCCACTTGCCCTGCGCTACAAACCATGTTTTTGTTTTTTGTCAGTGTCGTAGCAACATCAATAAGTTTAGTAGTTTAGGGTTTGGGGTTTAGGGTTTAGGGTTCGGTTCATGGTTTAAGTCGGGTTTAGGGCACAAGCCGCCGTGAAGGACTATTGCCATCCAATCTGTGGGTTCCTTTGGGGTTCCGAAGGATGTTGCGACACTGCCCCAAGCCTCGGGGACTAAATTTTAAACGAACCCTTACTAATACATATGGTTTACGGTTTATGGTTCAAATCTCAAATACCTTAATGAGAATTATAAGTTATAAGAAATCAGTTAGTAAGAATTAATCAGTATAGGTATAAGTAGTAAGAATGTAATTCTATCATAAAGTACGGGTTTAGGGTTCAGGGTTTAGGGTTTAGGGTTTAGGCTTTAGGCTTTAGGGTTAATCGTCCAGGTATATGCCCTTGCTGGCGTGCCCTGCGGCGCTTCGACACACAACGGCTGGATCCATCTGGCAGGGCATCTTGTCGAAACAGCCCATTCATCCGTTTCGCATCTTGCTTGCACCATTTGACGCTGGCAGTTGCCAAGAAGTTGCAGTTTCTGGTTTTGACGTTGGCAGTTGCCAAGAAGTTGCAGTTTCTGATGGCACTTAGGATGGTCAACAGCATGTGACATCTTCGTGCTGTCATTTGTGTCCGATGCCGCGGCTGCCAACCTGAAGCTCGTGCGGTGGCTCCAGGCTCGACTGCCACCGAACGCAGTGATGACCCATCATCTCTGCAACGCGTGTCCTTGCTCAATTAGCATTTGTCTTGGTTCAAAGTTCAAAGTTCAAAGTCCAAGTCTGCCATGGCAAACACACACCCACCAAAGAAAGACTTTGACTCAAAGTCTTTCTTTGGTGGGTGTGTGTTGCCATGGACAGGCACGAGTCCAACCATTGCATGGAGCCAGTCTGGAAGGGCATCGGCGTGAACGCTCTGCTGCCCGGCAGCGTGCGTGGAAATAGCCTTAGGGCCGTAGCCATGGCAACCCTTTTTATACCGTCCGTGTAACTTGTATAACTGTATAACCGTATAACCTATAACTTAGAACTTATACTTATTAAATTTATAACTTATAACTTATAACTTATAACTTATAACTTATAACTTATAACTTATAACTTATAACTTATAACTTATAACTTATAACTTATAACTTATAACTTATAACTTATAACTTATAGCTTATAGCTTATAGCTTATAGCTTATAGCTTATAGCTTATAACTTATAACTTATAACTTATAACTTATAACTTATAACTTATAGCTTATAACTTATAACTTATAGCTTATAACTTATAACTTATAACTTATAACTTATAACTTATAACTTATAACTTATAACTTGTAACTTATAACTTATAACTTACTTACAACTTACACCTTGTAGACTACAACTTGCAGACTAGAGCTTGCAGCTTGTATTTCTACTTTACTAGAACTCTTTGTCGACCGCTCAGGTTCTGCCTTGCAAATGTCCTGAACTTTGGCACCACGTATTTTGATTTGGTCCTGCAGTGCACCGAGCTCATCAAGAAGATCGAGATATCTTATGAGCCTCCGACAGTCCGCGACGGCCAGTTCGCCTCTTCTATGCTTCGCATTGCTTTAAGCGGGCGCAGGAGACTGAATCTGGAGGACGATGCAGATGCCCACGAGAGCGAGCGCGCAAGGCTGTTTTTAGCCATCTTCAATGGCAATTGGAAGAGCAGAAGAATCGTTCACCACTGTTGCGCCACGTGCCCCTGTGAGGGGACTGCCCAATTGGGCGTCTTGGCAGGGGAACTTTTTGCCGAGGTTGTCCTTGGTGCTCGGCCGCAGGTGCCGGCTCTCTCTCGCTGGATGAAATGTGCAGCCACAGCCAAATGGTTTTTGCCACCAGTTTGCAAGAAGTAGAAGTAATACGGCCCAAACGGCATATGTGACTCATACATCGTGACTCGTAACCGTAAACCCCAAACTAACGCGGCCCAAATGCCGGCAAATCCCGCACTTGTGGCCATATGCGTCATGTGCGTCATGTGTGACATATTTGCCATAAGTTTTGGGTTTCGGTTGAGGGTTTCGGGTTCAGGGTTTAGGGCTTAGGGGTTGAATTTCGGTTTAAGTTAAGTGTAAGTTATGGTTTTTTAAGGCTTAGGGTTTCGGGTTTAGGGTTTAGGGTTTCGGGTTTCGGGTTTGGGGTTTAGGCGGTTTAGCGGGCATGCGGCATAAGTGCCATAAGTTGTCCAGAAGTTCAGAAGTACTAGTAGCAGTAGAAGTAGAAGATTCCTAAGGCCATAAGAAGTGATCAGTGATAACTGATAAGTGATAAGCTGAGTTATGAATTCAGGGTCTTCGCCAGGCTGGGCTTTGCGTGCCACAACATTGTGGCGACAGCGTTTGTTTCCATGTTCAAAGCAGGGAAGAAACGTCCTACTCTGCAGCGGCTGATTGGCGCACTGGTGGACGACATCCAACGATCAGCCGACGAGCCCGACGCGGCTTCTGCAGCGTCGAGTGCCTTCACGCTTCCGGACTTGCCCGTCTCGAAGATTCAGGGCGTCAGAGCTGGAAAGGGCGCTGCCTGGCTTGCCCGACAGGAGTCAGCCACTGAAATGGCAGTTGGGATTTATACTTCGCGGCCCATTGAGCACGTGACTGCGTGGCTGCTCAAGTCACAGAAAATGGAATCCTGGCTAGCGGCAGAACCCTCGGAACGCCCCCTGGTTCAGTTGACAACACCTGACATGAGCGTCACTGTGCAGGCTCTCTGTGAATATTATGCCGCGATAACCTGCATTCCCGAAGCTTCAGACATCTGGGAGACACTCAATGGAAACTTGGCTTAATGAGCAACTACTTCTACAGCTTCAGAGTCATCACAGGAGTCAGAGTCATAGTCAGAGTCAGAGTCATAGTCGGCTCCCCTTTCTTTATTCAACACAAGATAACTTGGGTGGATCAGGCTTGCCTGGGAGTGGGCTGACTCTCGGCCCTGGCAATCGGCCAGATGATGAAGCGGACTGCTTGTATCTATTGTTTTTCTGCATGCTTCACGCTTGCACGAATGTCTGGTCACGATTGGTTCGTATATACCTTGGCTTTCCGTGGTGCCTGGCAGCTTTGGCCAACGACCGTCTTGACGCAGCTGTGGCGGATAGAATTCTCAGTCGCTTCGAGAACGCCAGGCCTTGTTGTCTTGACGCAGCCTTCAGCCAGAGGGTCAGGAACGTGATGACTTCCCCTGCAGATCTCAAGTCAGGGGGAAGACTCCACGACTTGATCCAGCTGCTATCTTGCCAGAAGGTGCTGAATGCCAAGGTGGAGGACACCTTTGCCAGGCACAACTCCGTTGCCCAGGCTGCCCGAGGCCAGCGTGCAGCATGCATGGTGAGTGTGGTTTAGTCAAGCCATGTTCAGTGTAGGGTTTAGGGTTTAGGCTTAGGGTTTAGGCTTAGGCTTTTAGGGTTTAGGGTTTAGGCAGTTTAGGGTTGGTCTAGGGTTTGGGGTTTAGGCTTAGGGCTTTAGGGTTTAGGGTTTAGGATTTAGGGTTTAGGGTTTAGGGTTTAGGGCCAAGTTTAGGGTTTAAGTTTTAGGGTTCTAGGCTTTAGGTTTTAGGCTTAGGGTTTAGGGTTTAGGGTTTAGGGTCAGGGTTTAGACTCTTAGACGGTTTAGCGTTTGGGGTAGGCTTAGGGTTGGGGGTTTAGGGGTTTACGGTATTGTCATTGTCATTGTCATTGTGATGTGACCCAGGCAAGCCTGTTGGACTTGATGCAAACTCGGCCAAGCACATCCTCGCCGAGCTCAAATCGCTGCATGTCCAATCTTTGGCTCGCAACACTAAAGGTTCCAGCAGCAGCGGCCTGCAACTGCTCCCTGAGACGGACAGTGTTGACATTTCAGCGAAGGAACTTTGCCACGCTGGATTCCTGACTCTTGAGAAAAAGGGCCAAGAACAAGCCATCCCCGCATTGCAAGATGCTGAAGGTGGCAGCGTGCGAAGACCCTCCTCCACTACATCATCGGCAGCTGCACCGGTTTCTGAGTTTGCGCAAGGGATGTGTCACGAGATTGATACTTTGGACAGTGCCTTGGGCCATGGGTCATCATCAGCACTGGCGGCCATTGATGAGCTGCTGCAGCACGACGCGCGACTCGCGGCAGCCGAGCCGCCGAAGCGCAAACCACGAGGCTCTGCAAGTTTCCTGCGGTACGCTGCTGAAGTGAGGAAATCGACGCCTCGACAGCACAGGGAAACTCCAAAGGCGCATGCTGACAGGGCACTTGCAGCAGCAAGGGCGTCTTGGAAGGCCCCTTGGCTTGTTCATCCATTTGTCAGTAGTGTTACCGGCCACTCCCGTCAAATGATAATTCAGAATTCACAATTCATATATTTTTTCTACGCTGACAATGACAATGATATTGATATTGATATTTATTTATTTGAATATAAATAATATTATATGATATTATATTATGATATAATTTATATATTATATATTATGAATTATGGATTATATAATAATAAAATATATTAATAAATTATAAGTTATAAAGTTATAAATATGAATTGTGAATTCTGAATAATGTTTTTTCTGATTTATGAATTATGGACCACACGGTATCTGTCTAGCAGTAATTAGCAGTATGATGAGGCGAACGCGGACCTCAGGAAGCACCACAATGATCGGGAGCATGCCATTCAGGTGCAGGGCAGGGCTCGCCGCGCACGTGAGCGCTTTGTGGCCCAACAGCGCTCGGTCAAGCCAGCCCATCATCGTGCCGGACCATTGGGATTGGGCGACGACCGCCATCCCATCAACACGAAACTCTTCTCAGCCTTTTACACAGGCCATCGTCAGGTGGTCGCCACTTGCAGCGACTCCTGGCGCAAGGCCCATGGTGGCATGTGCGACGATGGCACCATCTGGAATGACCAGCCCCTGCAGAAGCAATGTGCAGCATCGTTTTGCCGAACGCGAGATCTGGCAGCCCTTCCTGCAGGTACCTTCCAGCATCTGCAAGGTTTTCTTCAAAATATATGCAGACTCTTGCGGCAGAGTGCTCGGAACGATAAGGGGCAGATCACAGCAGCCTCAAGGCATTTCCTGTTCTTCATTCGCTTCGGCGGCTGTGTCTTGGGCTGGCTTGTGACGAACCCACACTTCAAGCCACTGAGTTTTGAAGGAATTGCCGTGACCGTGCCCCAACAAGCGCATGATGCACCATTCCAGGTGCAGCTCGCTGCCGAAAGTACCACGAGCAACGGGGTAGAGAAGCGTCATTTCAAATTCGTTTCGTTGGATGATGTGGCAAGGGACCTCGCGAAGAGAGCGAGCGAGGCTGGGGACAGTGTCGACCAGTGGGAGTGGTGCCACGTTCCCTACAAGCTTTACACCAGCACGCCACTGTCCATTCTGCACATCACAGAGCCACTTAACTGGGTCCTTGTGGGTGGGGGTGACTGGTCAGCTGGACTGGCAGCAGAGGACGAGATTCCGGGTCAAGCCGCTGACCAACCGGATGAGGACGAGCTGGGGGAAATCTCTGAAATGGTTGCAGCCCTTCAAGGCCCCAAGCCACCGGCGGTGCCCAGGAGTAAGGCGACAGCGAGTGCAGCAAAGGCAAAAGCGGCAGGCAGCGACTGGACTGGCAAATTGATTCGTGTTTTGTGTGAGGCTCGCTGAGGCTTAGTTTACGGTTTGGGGCTTGGGTTTAGGGTTTAGGGTTTAGGGTTTAGGGTTTAGGGTTTAGGGTTAGGGTTTAGGGTTTAGGGTTTAGGGTTTAGGGTTTAGGGTTTAGGGTTTAGGGTTTAGGGTTTAGGGTTTAGGGTTTAGGGTTTAGGGTTTAGGGTCTAGGGTTTAGGGTTTAGGGTTTAGGGTTTAGGGTTTCGGGTTTGGGGTTTGGGGTTTGGGGTTTGGGGTTTGGGGTTTGGGGTTTGGGGTTTAGGGTTTAGGGTTCAGGGTTCAGGGCTTAGGTTTTAAGGTTTAGGGTTTAGTAGACTCATAGACTGACTCATAGACTCATAGACTCATCTGTGTGACGTAGGGTCCGTATATCAGTCCATGATAATGATGCTCATGCAACGTTGCGGTTCCAGGAAAACGAGGCAGACCTGCAGGCGAAGAACCGGATGATCTGTCGCACGCTGAGCTTGCTGACCTTCGAGAATGGCTTGAGGCTCGAGACAGGCAATTGGGCCATGTTCCTTCCGTGTCTTTCGACGCTACGCAGCAGCCCTTCGAGCAACCAAGCGGCTCTCGAGAACCTCAGCGTGGCAAGCAGCGTAAGGCACAGAAATCGTCTTCGTCAGCCACTGCCGCTGCCCCCAGACAACGAACTCCCTGTGTGCCACCGTACTACAAAGATGAGAAGGGGTATGTTTATGCTCGCGAGTTCGAGGGGGACACCCCTCGCTATCTAGGACTTGTGTTAGCACAAAGAGCATCGAATGCCACATGTCTCATGTTGTACTGTGTTTTCTTCGATCGGCGATAAAGTTGTTAGTCAGGACGCATCACTGAGATTCGGCCGGGCACAAATTCTCATGCGATATCCATCCGGTGCCAATACCACGGGCCGAGTTGCTCTGTCCTGAAGACTATGCGAGCATTCCCAGCAAACGGGGAGGACCGCATGATGGGGTGGCTTTATCACGGGCCTTCCCGCTGTCCTGCCAGAACTGCATACGTCGATCACAAGGCGATGTTCAATGCATCTCGTTCAACATATTGTGTGCTGCGATATCATATCATATTATAATTTATAATTATATTATCTCGAATCATATCATATCATATGAGATGGGTCGAGTTTATTTTTCTAAAACACTCGAGGCAATGGTCCTGACGTGATCAATCGGTGGCTACCCATACAACTGCGTCTCTGATCAATTCATTCAATCAATCAGTGACGATGTGACCCTGTGACTATGGCTTCTGGCCCAATGGCTAGCCAAGGACAGCTGATGAGCTGTGAGGTGGCACAGACATGGATCGATGCTGCGACACAATGATCACTGCCGTGTGTTTGCTGCCCAATGTCAAGCTTTCCAGCAAGTTGGTTTGGGGGGGGGGGGGTGGGATGCGTCTTCAGGGTGCCGTGCAGGGTTTAAGAGCTATGGATTATGGGCAGGCTTTAGGGTTCAGTAGGGCTGGGGGGGGGGGGGGGGTGTACGGGTCTGTCACACAGACAGGACAGTTTGTACTGTTCACCCCTGTACTCGTGTGATCCCAGTCGTGCACTCACCCGTACACTCGCAAGTCCACCACCCGTTCACTCGTACGTTTCCACCCGTCCACACGTACACCCCCACATGTTCACACGTACACTCCCACACGTTCACACGTACACCCCCACACGCTCACACGTACACCCCCACACGTTCACACGTACATATTCCACATGTACAGAAATAAGGCCGGATGGGAGGCTGTATAAGGCTTATATGGCCTCCATCCGGCCTTATTTCCGTACATGTGGAATATGTACGTGTGAACGTGTGGGGGTGTACGTGTGAACGTGTGGTGGTGTACGTGTGAACGTGTGGTGGTGTACGTGTGAACGTGCGGGGGTGTACGTGTGAACGTGTGGGGGTGTACGTGTGAACGTGTGGGGGTGTACGTGTGAACGTGTGGGGTGTACGTGGGGGTGTGCGGGTGGTTTAGGGTTTAGGGTTTAGGCTTAGGGCTTAGGGCTTAGGGTTTAGGGTTTAGGGTGTAGGGTTTAGGGTTTAGGGTTTCGGCTTAGGGGGCCTGGGCTTTGGCTTAGGCGGCTTGGGGTGGGGATTAAGTGGTGGGTGGGTGGGTGGTGCCAATTCAGCTTTCTGCGCGCAGCCTGGGATTGTTGGCTTCGTGCTTAGATCCCCCCTTTGTGTCGTTGTGTATCTCAGTATCTCGCCCAACGTTTGCCATGGCAACCGCCGGGGAAGCAGCCCCAGCTACGGCGCCGCCGGCTCCAGAGGACTTTCCTTCCACATATCTGGCCATTCGCTTCCTGCCATTAGTCACGGGCAGTCATGTCGAAGTATGTAGTGTGTTACAGTTACAGTGTGTTTTCAGATTTCAGTCTGTTGTTCGGATGACACAGCACCCAGGCTGTCAGTTCTGCGGCTTCTGGACTACAAGCCCGTCACCGATGTCACAAACATGTTCGGGGAAATGGTGGCCTTTGCTGCCTTGGGCATTCGGCTCCAAAATGGAACCACGTGGCTGTACCTGTCTTCTTTGCGTCAATGCTTTTTCGCCTGCAAGAGTTAAAGGCATGAGTCATGAGTCATGAGTCATGAGTCACATTGTCACATTGTCACATGATATTTTTCAGCATATAACATGTGTGATTTGATTCAAGGTTCATACTGCTGGTGGATGGGACGTGGAAGTTGGCAATATCCGAAGATGTGCGGCTTTGTTCAAGGCCAATCCCACAAGGCTTCACGCGTGGCCAGTCGGCATGCAGATCATTCATTCACGCGCGCGCGCGCGCGCGCGGGTGTGTGTGTGTGTGTGTGTGTGTGTGTGTGTGTGTGTGTGTGTGTGTGTGTGTGTGTGTGTGTGTGTGTGTGTGTGTGTGTGTGTGTGTGTGTGTGTGTGTGTGTGTGTGGGGGTGTGTGTGGGTGGGTGTGTGTGTGTGTGTGTGTGTGTGTCGTGTGTGTGTGTGTGTGTTGTGTGTGTGTGTGTGTGTTGTGTGTGTGTGTGTGTGTGTGTTGTGTGGTGTGTGTGTGTGTGCTGTGGTGTGTGCGTTCGGTGCGTGCGTGCGTGCGTGGGGTGTGTGTTGGTTTGTGTGTTTGTTGTGTTTTTTGTTTGTTTGTTTGTTTGTTTGTTTGTTTGTTTGTTTGTTTGTTTGTTTGTTTGTTTGTTGTTTGTGTTTCTTGAATGACTCAGGTGGCTGGCGCAGCGGGGAAAGCTGATTCAGCTCAAAAATGATAAGCCCAACATTCGCATCAGAAATCCAGACGAACTTGGACCTCGAGAGAAACTGCAGCTGCAGTGGTCGGTATGGTTCACGGCTCGCGGTAGATGTTTCAGTGAACCACTCGATTGTATCTGTGCCACAGTTTTCATTTAAGGATTGTGAGCATCACGGAGGATGACCATCAGGAGTTGACAGCTCCATTGCAGTACTTTGTGGAGGTCAGCACGTACACCCAGGTGGTTGGTGCAGCGCCCGAAGCAGGAGCTGTGACAGCTAAGAGGTTTCAAGGTCAAATGCTGGCGGGAGCGGCGTGAATGCAAGCAGTGCTAGACAGTCGTTGATTCATTCCATTCTGAATTCCGACGCCTTCCCAATTCCAGTGTGTCGTGGGTTGTATAGGCATATGCGGCATAGGCACATGTCACATATAAGTTAAGTACAGTGTAAGTATAAGGCGTACCTGAGGTCGTCTGTGCCGGCCGGCAATGGCGATTGATGTGGGAAGACGGCCAATCAGGGATATACCAGTTCACCAACACGGCCAAAACAGCAGTACAAAAGACAACAGTGCTTGCAGATTCACACAAGGATGTCCCACAACTTACCAATGACCTTCCGGAGAAGGTCGCTTCTCTGGCGCTGCAGAAGGTGGTCGTGCCCCACGCTTCTCGTGGCATCGTGAATGCTGTGAAGGTTCCTTCGGCGTCCGCTTTGCTTGGACTGGTGGGCATCGCAACGCCAACAGAAGAGGACACTGGACCTGACGACGGTGCGTCCGTCAGACTCGGCAGGAAACCGTTGGTTCACCCAATGGCGTGCGAAGTCGAGAAGACCGTTCAGCAGGCCCACGCAGCAGCCCATGCAGTTGATGAAGACGCGCAATCGGATGCGCACTCCGTGTTCGCGTCGCACAACATCTGGGATAAGTTTGGAACACCGAATATGGCCCCTGCAGCCAAGCCGGCTGCGAAAAGCAAGGCCAAGGCAAAAGCAGCAGAGCCCAAGGCCAAGAACAACAAGGGTGGCGGCGGCGGCAAACGTGCCAATGGTGGTGGTGATGATGGAGATGACACAGCAGCAGAATCGGCGCGCAAGCGTCGCGTGTCTTCGCTGGCGCCGGTTCCCGATGCTGATGCATCGTCTGATGGCGCCAAGGCCTCCTGTAGTATGGCCAAACAGATGACCGAGGGTGATGACAAGTGGACTTCAGAGACCACCCACTCATTGAGCCACATGCTGAGGATCACGCCAGGTGATGAAGAGAATGAGTTCAAGACATACATGTCGGAACTTTCCAAGAACCTATCGGCACAGCTGCAAGAGGTGAAAACGAGGAAGCGTCAAGTCAAGCGACGCACTCAGGTAAACAGTGAGCAAGCTTTGAAGAGCATCGAGTCTTTCGAGACCCTCATCGTTGAGGTCATATCCTTTCTGAAGAACCTGAAGGGCGGTTCCTCTACCGGTGACGATCTCTTCAAGACGATAACTTTCTTGCAGTCGAATTGTGTGTGCAAAGCAACGTTCGGATTGGCGATTATCACAAGAACTACCCGTTGCCTTCTACTAGACGACTTGAAGTGGCAGCGTTGGGAGAAGATGATCACAGTCACCTTCAAGTTTGCGCAGGACGCTGGTCGACTAGCCCCAGACAGTGGGCCGGACAGTTCCTGTGGCGACTTCCTGTCGGACTTCTTTGCGAAGCAGATGTGTGTGCTCTTGCAGAAGCTCTTGAAAGGACTTTCCGATTCTGCCACTTGATGTCACAATTCAGACA